GGATCGATGTTGGAATTTTCATCTCCCTATTAAAATTTTATTTTATTTTGACTTATAATTTGTAAAATTAGGGTGACGTCTATAATACATTCAACTATGATGTGTCATTATTTATTTTTAAACTTGTAACATTTGAAAAATCTTGTGTTTATTGTTAATGTTCTTGATTTTTTAGGTGTCACAAGACTGATTTGAAAAGTGAAAGGTAAAAGATGTGTGAAATGTAGTTCATATTCCATTCACATTCCACCTGCCTTTTCTGTTTCCTTTTCCAAATCGCTCCCCAAATCCATGAACCAAACACATACTAAGTGAACCTAAAAGACAAAAAGTGGGATTACATTTTCCTCTCATTTTCCCCCCTTACATTTTCCATTATTATAAAACAAAACAAAAAATGAGATTGCATTTCCTTTTCCCTTTCCATTTTTCACACCAAATCCTCTAATCAAACACAACCTAATAGTGTTGCTTATAGGGTATCAAGGTGTTGAACCCCAAGGGGTTGGCCTATTGGGTGCTTGGGGCCTAGGGGTGTGCTCCCTCTAGTTGTCAAGTTCAACTCTCACTAGGTGCTATCAACTCCTTAGGGCCAAGCCCGCAAACTCTATCCAAGATTCACCCAATTCACATGGAAGGGGCGTTTTGCATGGTTCTCAAGATTAATCGAGGTGCATGTAAGCTGGGCAGGTCACAAAAAAAAAAAAAAAAAAAAAAAAAAAAAAAAAAAAAGAAGAAGAAGGGTGTTGGGGGTGTTGTGGAGGGACTAGTAGGGTTTGGTCACTCCTTGTTCATTGAGAAGGTGAAGAGAGATGATAGAGAATAAGGAAAAGAAAAGAGTGAAGGGTGTAATCGTAAATGAATATTAAATTAAATGGTGTTATGTAATAAGGGGTGTCAGTGATATTTCAGTTAATAAAAGAGGTGCAGTGTTATTTCAAAAAAATAGAGGGGTTGTCAGTGTAATTTACCCTTAATTTGCACAAAATTGGTTTGGTACACCATATAACGCTGAAACAAAAGGGGCTACTGGTCACTGAGCCCTTTGATATATGAGAACGAAAATGATTCATTTACATAATTTCTCTCCTCCAAATTCCCTTGAATGATGTGACAAGCATAAAAGTTGGTTCACGCTCCAACATGTAGCAATTGATTGATATAGAACTTGCATTTTATCTTACCACCTCATTCGATGGTTTTGGAAAGGGGGAGAATATTGTGTGAATATAGCATGATTGTTTTTTTAGCTAACCAACCAAACTAACTTAACTAATTTTTAAAAGAAAAATAATTATCAATATAAATAAAGCATACAATATTTTTTTTCTAACATGTTGCATATTCACCTAGTGTTGGCGTGGATATTGACATGACATTGACAAATATTAATTTTCTTTAAATATATTATTAAATTATTATTTTAAATAATATTTTTACATGGTTATATTTTTAAACGGTCATATTTCTTTAATGGTAATATTTTCAAACGATCAAATGTGCTAGAGCAAAAAAGAAACAACAAATATGAAACAAGCTTAGCCGCAGCAAAGATGGAGCTAGCAAGTAGATACGGTCAAAATGGCGGGATTACACTTAGCCTAGCAATTGATGATATCTACTTGTGAAGACTCAAAATAAAAATGGAAAAAATACCTCTTGTGATGCAGAGCCCTTTGGAGGAGGAGCCAAACAATTTCACTAGTAAAAATACCTCATATAGCCTTTTTGCCATCTCCCTTGAAGTTGTTCTTAGAGGCATAACATTCATTTGGGGTAAAATAAAGACTTTTGTTGAATTCATTATTGTTTGTACCTTTTTTGGTAAAAACCATCATGTGCCAATTCCCTAAATTATTGATGCCACGTGGCAGTGGCAATGGAAGATGGAGAGTCAAAAAAATTATAGGACCTACTACCAAGGTTAAATGAAATGGCGGCTGAAATTGATTTATTTTAAATCAATTAAATTAATTAAGTCATTGGATTAATTAATTAATTAATATTGATTTGATTTGATAAGGTAAGCCTCAACCATTCCCAATAATTAGGAGGATTTTGAGGCTTATCTCCTAAATCGGTGCCTTATCTCTTAGTTTGTTACTAAGATGCCTGCTATAGATGAGGATTATATGGGATTTGAAGATTTTGCAAATCAATAACAAGGTTAGAAAAGTGAGACCATTTTTTCCAGCTCAAGTCAAGTGGGGTTTTTGATGGGACACGTATCAGCTTGTGAAGAGAAGTGGGATCAACAATATACTACAATTGGTGGGACTGAATTTCCCCAAATCGTGCAAGGTTGAGTTTGAGGATTTTTGTAGATAAACATACATAGCAAAGGAAGAGGTTTTTGAGGATCAATCCATACTACAACTAATGAGCCTTTTCCCTAAATCATGGAAAATAAATTCAAATTTGATTCTTAAGAGACACGTGGCGGCTTCAAGAAGCTTGATGGACCAAGTCAAAGCTACAAAGATAGACATTATCCATGGATGGTCAAAATCGTTCCTACTGGAGGTCAAGCAAATGGTCAATGACATGTGTCACTAGGAAAGGCTTCCACATTTTTGGCAAATGAGTAGAAATAGGGGTTTTCCCAACATTATACAAAGGGCTCTAAGTGAAACATTCAAAGGCCCATCACCAAACAACTCAACCAAGAGTCTTTCAAAACATTTATCTTAACTTCATAGATTTATTTATCTTAGCTTTATAGCTTTTATTTATCTTAGTTTTATAGCTTTATCTATCTTAGCAATTCAATTCTATGCAATTAGTAGTTTAGATCAATTATCTTAGATTAGCAATTGTACTTTGTTTATGAATCAGTGCAAGTCACAAATTTAGTCTAGTTGTCTTTCAAAACATTTATCTTAACTTCATAGCTTTATTTATCTTAGCTTTATAGCTTTTATTTATCTTAGCTTTATAGCTTTATCTATCTTAGCAATTCAATTCTATGCAATTAGTTGTTTAGATCAATTATCTTAGATTAGCAATTGTACTTTGTTTATGAGTCAGTGCAAGTCACAAATTTAGTCTAGTTATCCTTAGCACCTAAGAAATTTGTAAAAGTCATTTCATTGGGGCAAGATCCGAACCAATGGCGGTTCCTCTAAATCACACACAGTCAGTTCTTTGTGTTAGATGTTAGAAATGTTCAAATATTCCTACACCTTGAACTAGGTTCACAGGTTCTGGCACGTCCATATTCAACTCAATCATCAAGCCTACGCGTTTGTGCCCCAAAATTCTTGAGTGGAAAACAAGATTTTGTGAGGCGTGTAAACAATTATTTAGAAAATCAGCTTGTGAAATTATAGTGACTTGTTTTGGGCTCCATTGGGTTCAATATTTAAAATTTAAGCTTCGAGTATTGCAAGTTCTAGAGAAAGAGAGAGAGAGAGAGCGCGCACAGCGAGAGCTTTTATATTTAGGACAACAGCTTCCTTGACACTTCTAAAGTGTATATCTACACTCTTAGAGTATATATGTGCACTTCTAGAGTAAAGATCTAGGCTTTTTATGTTCGAAAAAGGGATTTTGAGTGTTTCTCTCTCAATTTCGACATGAATTTTTTCATTTTCGACACCCACAATGGTGTTCTCTTCTCTCAAGCCTTTTCCCATACCATTGGGGGTGTTCTACCTCTTCAACTCTAACTTTTGGCTACGGCAGAGGTGAAATTGGGCAGTGGCGACGGCAGGTTTTGATACAGATCATGCTTGGCTTAATGTAGATCTAACTTTCCAAACCATATCTATGAAACGATCGATAATTTTTCTTGGATTGTAGCTAATTTTTTTGACGGATTTGTCATTTTTTGTAGTTCTTGTTTTGTTGTATGTGTTTTTGTTTGGCCCTTCAAGATCTTCTTGTTTTTCTTTTTTTGATTTGTATGTTGTTTGCTTTTAGTTTAATATAACTATTTTTTCATGTTCTCAAAAAAAAAAAAAAATCATATTTAAGCTGCCAAGAAATTCAATTTTGTAGGACTCATTTGTAATCTTGAGAGTAGCAAAAATTGGCTCAAGCTTCTCTCTCGTTTGAAATTGGACTGAAGCATATTGTTGGGTTTCATGGGCCCACCATAGAGCCCACATCGATAATCCAAACCGTTAAATGTGTAAATCTCATCGAGCACTTTATTCTTGCAAAAAATTACGTTAATCAGATATTGATAGCTACTTGATTAGATTAAATTTGTGTCAACGGTAACTATGATTTTAAAAATAAATTGTTGACACAAAAATGATCGGATCAAGTTTCTATTGATATCTAATCAACATAATTTTATATAAAGATGAAGTACACGACAAACCCTAGGTATTTAATGGTCCGGATCATCGATGTAAGCTGCATAGTTGGCCTACGGAAGCCCAACAACACACTTCATTTGGCGAGAAGTTACTCCCTAAATATAAATTCGTGATCTTATCTTTAGAGACTAGCTAGTAACAATGTCTAAGAGATAATAGATAATTAAACAATCTTATGTTGAATAGCTTAAATGGCACAAGCCAAATTTTGTCATATTACAGTACTTAAAATATTTATATTTAGCAATCTAATAGAGATGGAGAAATGTTGTTTTTTCAATTTTTTTAAAACAAAAATTAAATATAAATGACATTTGTAAAGAGAGAAATAGAAACACTTGCTCCCCCGGAGCCAAGGCCCACAGATGCAATGATAACATCTCAAAGCATCATTTTTCATGTTCAAAAGAAAAAAGAAAAAAAGTAGAAACACTTGCTAAAATTTTGAGTCAAATTTAACACATAATATAATAATGTCAAATTTCAATAGCTCGAATAACAATTGCGTTCCAGCCATATCATTTGCAAAAGGTGGTTATATTATAGAAGGTAATAACCACTGTTAAAATAGTGAAGATGACTTTTTTTTTTTTTTTCTAGAACGTTGACCAATATAATCGAACCTCATAAACTTTTATCATCTTTCCATCCAGTCGCATATAAATAGAATTTTCATACAAAAATCTCATTGAGAATAATATGAGTGACACTTCTTGAAATTATAAAATGAAATTACCACAAGGAGTCATTATATTTCATTATTATTTTTGTAATTCTACATAGACAGCTCATTGCAGTTGTGCCTGCATTAGCTTTGTTTATGCCAACGCCCAAAAAATTTCAAAGAAAAGAAAAAAAAAACACACATACACACACACATTATGTAAAAACAATGCAGTAGCCTACACTTCTTGATGAATGAAAAGAGAGAGCTTCTGTTTATGGTAATTGCACCAGAATTTAACTTGAGCCATCTTCCTCATGAGTTTCAATTTTCATGAAATCAAGGTTCGACTTACCCTTGAGTTTTCGGGCAAAGAAGTCCTTGAAATACTTGTCAAAGAGGACTCGTCGGAAAACTGCAGGCTTGTTTGGTCCAATAAGGCTACGCGCAGGACCTAGCTCCGACTCTAAATTGGTGCTGTAAAATGTTGCAATGGACATCCTTTCTTTTCTCGAGTTCACCATTGCTCGGTGCTCAATGCTTTGATACACACCATTGCTCACAATCTGTATACAATGTTTGACATCAAATATCAAAAAAATTAATGAACTAATGTCTGAAGCAGAGGTGGCTGAATTATTTAACTGGACACCTATGGCTTTCGTAAAAAATTCAAAAAATTATTGCTGGACGTCCTAATTTGTTGAAGTATAAGAAAATAAGGTATCATTTTGATATTTAGTCAGAGGTCTAAAAAAAACCTTTGAACCCCTTCTAAAGTTGAATAGTTTGATCTTGATTTTGAGAGAGAGCCTTCTACTCTCTCCTCTATTGTCTATTCCTCTGTCCTAATGCACTCAATGTAGTGGAAATCTCGAGAAATAAAATTCTCAAAACATGATCATACAATTGAGAGAGACAGCATTGACAGAAAGAAAGAGCTGCAGATGTGGCTCAACCTTTACGCCTCTATGCCAATGCAGCTCTCCAAAAAATCTCAAAAAATTTCTTACTTGGCATTGACCCCAATAATTTAAAGGCCCAGTAAAACAAGTCTCATTTTGATATTTGACTGGAAGCCTAAAAAATTCTTAAACAGTTGACAAAGAATCCCCTGTCGACAGAATACACATATTATAAACTCAAAATAATTTCCCAAGTGATTGCACGCTTATTGGGTGTAATCACGACAATGAAAGAATCATCCCATCTACTGTCAAATCAACCGATTCTGTTTTTCAAAATCTCAAAATGAATGACCTATGCCAGTTCACCTCACGAAAAAATTCTTAATATTGGTCACAAATAAAAAAAAAAAAACACCCAATTAGTACACATTAATGTGTGTTTGGGAAGGAAAAGATTGGGAACACGCCTAACCTTTGGCATAGTGCACATAGTGGTTGCCCCGTGAGCTGAACCCATAACCTCAAGGTTATTAGGCCAAGATTTTACCATTGAACCAATGTTTTAATATTGGTTGCAAATATAAACTCAAAATAATTTCCCAAGTGACTACACGCTGATTGGGTGTAATCATGACAATGAAAGAGTCGTCCGATATACTCTCAAATGAATCGATTCAGTTTTTCAAAATCTCAAAATTAATGATCTACGCTAGTCCACCTCACAAAAAAATTCTTAATATTGGTCGCAAATATAATGATGAGTGATGAACTTGATGCAATCATGCAATTGTCAAGCCATTTAACCTCCATGATGTCCCCAATGTCGACAACAAAAGCATTTTACAAGAAATACTATGGAATGGAGTAAATTAAAGCTTGAAATTACCTCCATGATGTCCCCAATGTTGACAACAAAAGCATCTTGCAATGGTTTAACGGGTACCCATTTCCCTTCTTTCTGAATTTGGAGGCCTTGGGTGTCATTGAGCTGATACAGAATGGTTAAAGCACCTGCATCGGAGTGAGGAGTGATGCCGATGGCCATGTCAGGCTCAGGGCATGGAGGATAATAATTCATTCTCATGGACTGTACCCCATCACTGAATAGTTCTTTCATCTCTTCATTGTCCATCTTTAGAGCTTTAGCCATCTGACTTAGGATGATCATGGCTAGCTTTTTCACTTCTGCAGAGTATGCTTCCATTGTTTCCCTGCAATTAATATAGAATTAAAATCATAGCATTCTACCACACATAAATATACACATACACAGGAAGTTATACTATACACACCTCAAAAACAGATGCATATGGTATGCATTTAAAATTTCAGTCAAAATTATTTATAACTTCCACCAATTTGACTCATAACCAAGACCAAATTGGTTCATAACCAAAACATCACAAAAGACCACTTCTTTTTATAATAAAACATCATAAAGTTTCATAACCAACAATCATTTTGGTTAATAACCAAACACCGTAAAGACTCATAACCAAGATCAGTTTGCTTATAATGACAACCACCATAAAATTTCTTAACCAAGGATGCTGCAGCTCATAATCAACCCCCACAAAGTCTCATAACAACGTATTACATGATTTATAACTAAAATTACTTATCTTCATAACTAGAGCATAGGGTACACCGTTTAAAAAGATGTTTAGCATAGAATTTTCATACATATACAATATAAATGAAAGTACCACTGCAAATGTGTACAACACTAAAGAAACAATCTAAATGATAGTTTTGCCTGGTCATTCATCCTATATAATATTTCTACCATGGACAAAGAAAAAAAAAAAGAGTAAAAAGTGATGATGAATATGTTGCCATGATTTTCTTTTTTTATTAATTTTTCATAAAATGGTACAGTTGATTCCACATTTTTCACTTCATTGTGATATTTAAATACATATTTGACCAAGGCCTTTTGCAATGAGAGAGAGAGAGAGAAAGAAACCTGAGTTTTGGAGGTAGAAGGTCAAATAATTGAGTCCGCCTTAGACTTGTTGGAAGAGTGGTAATGTAGAACATGTCACTCCAGTCGAGCTTTTGCTCCTCTGATACCACAAAGAGCTGCCCAAAACCTTCATGGTTGTCTGGCTGTTGCCATAATTTCTTTTTGTCTTCCAAAGAAAGCTTGAAAAAATATACAACTTCCCTCTTGAATTCCTCTAACAATGAAATGCTCACTCCATGATTTACAACCTGATTCAACAAAGAAATATTCACAAATTATATCCATCAAAGACTTGTGGAGACTCCTAGGTCTCCGATTATCTTATAAAAAGAAGTTAATTATTACTTCAACACTACCTAATTAAAATACCTACATTTATTATGTTCTTATTTCAATTTGAAGGCCACACAAATGGACAGTCAGGATCTAATTGTGGCATTGTCACATCAGTGAAATAAGTAACACTAAATAACTGCTCATAGAAGAGAGAAGGAAATAAAGAAAAAAAAAAAAAGAACTAGAATTCCCAATTAAAAAGTTGATGAGACGCGAAACCCTCTCTTACTGCGCGTGATACCCAAATTCAAGTCTTACCATTTTTGGGTACTTATATAAAGTACATGGCAAGCCCTACAAGTGCCACATCACCAAAACTCCACCCGCGTGGCAGACCAATAAGACGCCACGTGGGCATATCACATTTTGATACATGGCGATCCCTACAGGTGCTGTGTGCCAAGCACCATGCAAAACTAGGACTATATGCTTAGCCTAAGCGGGAGCATACATACAAGTGGAGTAGAGAATTATGTTTGAAGTTGTTTTTCAAATTTGTTTTAGATGTTACCGCTAGATTATCAAACTAGATTGTTTTGAAATAGAGTGGAGAATTATGTTTGAAGTTGTTTTTCAAATTTGTTTTAGATGTTACCGCTAGATTATCAAACTAGATTGTTTTGAAATAGAGTGGAGAATTATGTTTGAAGTTGTTTTTCAAATTTGTTTTAGATGTTACCGCTAGATTATCAAACTAGATTGTTTTGAAATAGAGTGGAGAATTATGTTTGAAGTTGTTTTTCAAATTTGTTTTAGATGTTACCGCTAGATTATCAAACTAGATTGTTTTGAAATAGAGTGGAGAATTATGTTTGAAGTTGTTTTTCAAATTTGTTTTAGATGTTACCGCTAGATTATCAAACTAGATTGTTTTGAAATAGAGTGGAGAATTATGTTTGAAGTTGTTTTTCAAATTTGTTTTAGATGTTACCGCTAGATTATCAAACTAGATTGTTTTGAAATAGAGTGGAGAATTATGTTTGAAGTTGTTTTTCAAATTTGTTTTAGATGTTAACGCTAGATTATGAAACCAGATTGTTTTGAAATAGAGTGGAGAATTATGTTTGAAGTTGTTTTTCAAATCTGTTTTAGATATTTGGAGATTCAATGTGAGGCCCTTGAAAATTTTATTTTCTTGAAAGTCCCTTACTTCTAAATTATTTCTTTGAAGTCCCTCAATTTCTTAATTAATTGCAATTTTAACCCTAGGATCAAAATATATGCGCCAACCGAAAACTCGCAAACCCTAATCGATTTCGGTAACTTAAAAATCATTTATAATACCCTAATATTGATTAATTGACTACCTAAATATGGAATTACCACTTTTCGATTTTCATTATGTTCGTCAGTTGATAGCCTTTTTATTTGAAACAATAAATCTAAACCGAATTAGTTTCTCTAACTGCAACAATCCTTATTTTGCCTTAGTCATATTCATGAGAATTTACATGATTTTGTCTTGTTAAGCTTGCATCTGCAAACTTTGATTTGTTTTGCCTAAGTAAAGGTCCCTATCTTGTTTTGTGCTGTTATATTTTGTCTAAGTATAAGATTCATGCTCTATTTCTAGCTTTGTGTGTTGAACCTAGGCTATCTACCTTTATTACCTCATACCTAGGTCACACCTTTGAACCTCTTACACCTAGGCCGTTGAGTGTCAATACCTAGGATCATCTTGGAACCATCTTGGTTGACCTCCACCTTCACCCTGGCATCTTGGCCGAGATGTGTATCATCTAGGCATTGGAGATATTTGATCCTTGAACCTTTCATCCTTGTTGTGCACTTTAACCAACACCTAGAAATCTTGTTCCTTGACCTATACAACCTAGGCCAAGGTGTGTCACACCTAGGCCAAATGTTACTCCTCCTTGCTGAGATCACGGAAACCTTACTTGTCCGAAGCCTAAGTTTTGATCTAGGATCCTTGCCTTGTCAAAGTGCCCGTGCCATCTTACTTGTTGTATACACTTTGACCTACTCTTGTCTTTTCATTCTAGCACCTTTTGAGGAGACTTGACTTGGTGATGCCACGTGTCCCAGTAGTAGGTATTAGTCAGTTAGCTGTTGAGAAACCCCTATCATTTGCCATATCTTTGTTTAAGAAGGGAGAGAAACTATAGGGAGAAGAAGTTCTTGGAGGGAGCTAGGTTTACCAAACTTGATTATTAGAGTTTGAACCATTAGATTTGTGTTTTGAGGTTAGATTCTTGATCTACTATTGTTGTTCTTTATGTTAATCTGATCACATTGCATAATCTTGCATGATTCATGAGCCATGTATTGATTTAAAGTTTTGTTGTAGAATCAATAAAGTTTTGTTGTAGAAAGAGAAAGTGATGTTCTTGTGTTCTTGAAGAAGAATCATGTTTTGATCCAAAAGTTTGTATCAAGTTCTATATTTTTGTGTTTGTATTCTTGAAATCTTCCAGTATGGGTACCCAAGTCCATGTTTTTGAACTCATATAGTGAAATCATAGATTTTGAATAAGAAATCATGATTCATGTTCTTCATGCTCATGTGCTTCATGTTCTTCAAGAGGAAACCCAGATTTCCAGACTTCACTTCCCTAAGTGTGGTCACCGAGACCCACTCTTGTCCAAACCTCACACCTAGGCCAAGCATTGCATCTCACCTTGGCTTACCTTGCATGATCACTTGTACCTTGGTCTATCTTCCATGCACACCTAGGCCGACCACTGTACACCTTTGCCGACACCTTGTAACATCTCGGGCGGGCAGCCCACATCTCGGCCAAGGAGACCACACCTCGGCCAAGACCTCCTGAGTTCATCTAGCTAGGCCATTTTGGCCCAGCTCATCTTTGTGCATCCATTCCGAGACTTGGTTTGTACCCAACATGCTTTTCCAAGAAGAAAAACATTGATTTAACTCCCAGCACCTTTTTTGCTTTGTTTTGACTTGGTTTTGGAAAGAAATGTCAGCACCTATTTTACTCATTTGAAGCTTGTTTTGAGAGTGCGTTTCATAACCATCTTTGAGCATCTCTTCTTACCTTCTTGAAGTGCATTCAATGGAATTACTATGTGATTGTAGGTCTTGGATCTTTGCCTTACATCTGAAGAGCTATTGTGAGTGGTATTTTTAATAAAGTTATGTTATAACGTTTTGATAAAAGCTTTACTTTGTTTTGGAAAAGCATTTGATTAAGCATGAATGATTATCCTTTAGCTTTTGTATCAAGTATTATGTTTGTTTTGATGACATTCTTGAAAGGTCCTTGTGTGCTAGGGGACTTTAATGCTACTAGTACCCTTGTTTGAGATATCTCCCTTGCCACCGACGGGCGGGCTTGTCTAATCGATTCCGGATCGGTTATTCCCTTGTTTTGTCAATGAATGTCATCCCTTGTATTATGTAGATGTTAGTAAACATCCATTGAAGCTTTGAAAGACTTTGATTGAGGGCCTTGGTTTATCCCTTGTTTTGTTTTTAGCAAAAATCTCGTATATCATTCATTCAAACCTTTATTACTCATATCATTCACTGAGTTTTCAGCTCACCACTCTCCCTTATATATATGTAGGTGATGAGCAAGAACGCGGTGTCGCCTAAGCTTTGTTGGAAGATGTGTTTTGCTTTATGCTTTTGTATTCATCTTGAAGATTATGCTTCTTAGCTTCGTAGTTCATTTCTTTTGTATGTTTTCGCTTGAGAAGCCTTTTGATCAAGATGTTATTTCAAGTTGTAGTTGTTTGTATCCAAGTTGAAAAATCATGTTAAGATGTATGTCATTCCATTTAATCTATGCACATCTCTTATGAACTAATTAGCTTTAAATTTATGCTTCTGCACATGTATGCCCCATATGTATACTCTCTTTGTGTGAATCTTCGTAAGTTGGCCTTCGGTAATCTTGGATTACTGGCCATCACGGCATCATTCTATTAGGGGCGGAATGGGATCGTGACACTAAACCTAATTTAGTTTAATTCTACACTTAAATAAATGTTCCAATTCATAAATTAAACCCAAAGCCCACAGCCTTTTATTAAATTACTAATTGACCCCAAACTAATACTAATATATATACTTGTACCTTTAAACCTATTTTATACACCATATTTTGAAATTTCCAACAACTGTACACAAGAAAAAAATAAAATAATTCCCTCAAACCCCTTCCCCCCCCCTCCCTCTCCCCTTCTCCCTAGGGAAAATAAATATAGCTTTTCAAACAAAATCCATGAATTTAGGGAAAAAGTTTGCTAGTACCCCCCAAAACATGGAACCATGCTTCCACCCTAAGCTCTTCAAACAAAATCCATGAATTTAGGGAAAAAGTTTGCTAGTACCCCCCAAAACATGGAACCATGCTTCCACCCTAAGCTCAATCCTCACCAAAGCCTAACTAGATCATGATTAATTGTATAATTAAGACCTCTAATCATTTACTATTCCATTAAGTTCCAAGTAAATCCAAAATATCCAATCTATTTCCAACCAATTGGTACTGTAGACCTTTTGCACCAATTTTAGTATATATAGAACCTTTCCCTTAGCATTTTGCACACAAGAAAACACACACAAACACGACATTCGGCTGAGAGAAAGAGAGGGCAAGAGAGTGAGCTTGGTGGAGGAAAGGAAAGAACGAGAAGGTCTTGTTAGCTAACCAACCAAGCCTCAAGTAAGCCACATCACCATCTCTCATTCTATTTCCTTTTCACATACATGTTATTAGAGATTTAAAATCATATTTTCAGATTTGTTGTAATGGTGTTCATAGGTTCAAAGTTGATGAATTTGGCTTTGGTCCTTCTTCTACTCATATTTACTTAATAGATGCAAAACTACATTTTTCTTCCTATATCTCACATTATTTCCAAAGGCATACCATCACCCTAAAAATCTGAGTTATTGATACATTATTTAGTATGTTTTCAT